ATAATGGTGGGTAAAACAAAATACATGGCCTAGCTAACTAATGAATGAATATTTGATGTAAAATTATTTTCAGTGTTATAAGTGTAGCTACCAGCTTGGCACCAATTTTGATTTCATTCTTTAAAGTCACACACTCAATCCTTTTTTGGCTGCAACTTTTTTCACACTTAAGGTGTTTTTGATTAGATATTGTGACTTTTTCTGAATACACACCAACAAGCCACAGCAAGTAAGAAAGTGATACTCGATAATAACCCACATTAGCTATAGTATCGCAACCCTATTATTCAAAACAGACCTTTACTTTACATAACCAACCAAATTCTTTAAAATATATGGTGGAAGGTTTTCCTCTCAAAAACAATGTTAATAACTTCCTTTATATTAATGCCATGGAATTTAGATTAACAGTTTCCTGTCATCACCCCCATGCAATCAGTACAGCCATATCAAGTATCATTATTTATTCTAATTGCTTAAGCTAATATCATATGATGCTAAATGCTCTTTAATTAAGATAATTTCATAAAATTTAGTAAGTTTGTGCTGAAAAGTTGGTAATGAATAATCAATAATAACCAGCCAGCCATATGATTGTTTTGAAAACATGAGCTAGAAACTGTTAATCTAGTTTGCTTGGTCTAACCAATACTTATGTATCTGCATGTCCTTTCACCTTATACCTTTGCTGCTCTAAATCAGCCGTCTTTAATCTGAATGACAAAAAACTAGAAACAGTCCACTTTTACTCTTAGGTGAAGCTGTAATAAAAATGTTAGACAAATAGCTCACTTGACTTTTTATGAAGGCATGCGCAAAACTTTTAGTCAAATGTGGGCAGTTTTTGTTGAATAACTTTGCAAGTATGGTTTATGTTTACACCAAATGAGACTCTTAATTGTAGTTTATAAAGATCTAGCAATGTACCCAACTTGAAAAAATCAAAAATAGGAAGAAAATCAAAATTGGAAATGTTATATCTCGGGTATTTCTTAGTGGATTGCCTTGAAATTTGGTATGTGAACTTAGAGTCCAGTAGTGCATGTCCACTGAAAATATGTGATAATTTGTATTACCACAGTGTTATTAACAGGAGTGATAATTTAGCAATTTTCCACCTTCTGTATCTTAAACTATGTTCTGCAGTAGATTGCCTTGGCCACACGACAACAATACCGTACATCTTGATTGTGATAACTTTTCTTGCGTTATGATACAAATAGAATTTTGATATACCTGTAGCAAACAAAAGATGAGTTTGAAATGTTATTTTTATATACCTCTGATTAGAAATCTATAATAGTCTGAGAATGATCAGATCATAAAACATCTTCAACCAAGATACTGTATTTCAGGGTTATATAAAAAATTTATTGTAACTATAAGCAGGGCACAGGTTGGCCATGTTTAGAGCTTTGGATTTTGGAGCTGGTGAGCCAATTTTGAATTTGTGTAATACAACTAAGTATTCCATACGTTTTAACCCGATGACTACCGGTACTAACTTTCTTAGTAGGCAATGCAAGTGTGAGGGCAAAATCATTTGTGAATTGAAAAAACTTATCTTTTAATGGATTTCTGATTTTATTTTTATAAATAGTAGCATAACATTCAATTATTTGTACAAAATTGTATTTTTTAATGAAGTTTAAAGAGGAATTTAATGAAAAAATTCCTGAAATATGTTTTAGACTGTAAATAAGTGCCCTCTAAGAAGAAATGTTTTTTTCAAAAATTTTTTAAGATATTTCCTTTCACCTCAGCACTGGTTCTGCCATCTGTGATTGGTATCCAAACCTTTTTCTAGTCTGTTTTCTTTATAAAACTGCATCTGGGCGTGGTAAACCTCAGTTGTAAAACTTTTAGCCAATTTTAGTCGAAAGTGTCAATTTCAGTACCAATTATTCCAATTGCTGTATCTCCCATTTGACAAATCATAGGATGATAAGGAAATCACGTGATGAAATGTTGTTCTCTAGATTTTACAATATGAATGTGACCACCAAAAGGGGTGAGATAGTTTACGGACAACATACAAAGTTCACACAATCGACCCCACGGTTTATTCGCCACAATAAACACAAAAGTACGACTGCAATGAAACATACACATAAATTTGAAATAAAAATATATTTATGAAACAAAATTAAAATGTTTTTATGTACATATATAAACATGAAATCCTAGTTAAAAATAAAAATACTCATTTATTGTTTAGGTTTACTTACAAATATTATTTACGGGTCTGTATATTACTTGAAACCATAAGAAGTATACGTGATTATTAAAAAATTAAAAATAGATAAAATTTGCATTTTATGGAGGATACAATTTTTTGGGGATTTCAAAATAATGTACTAAAACATTAAAAGTAATAAGTTCAAATCTGTAGCAAGTATAAATATTGTGATCATTTCTTATAAGTACGATTTCCTAATGTAATTTTCCAAGATATTAAAGATCATAATGCAAAAAAACTAAATTTATTAAAAGTAATAGGGTTTATGTTTCTTAAACTACCTACATTTGTCAAAGTACTTATGAAATTTCGAAGATATTCGTCCACTAGTTTTATTGTTTGGAATGAAATATAGCAAGACTTGCATTGCCTACTAAAAAAAGGTAGTAGCCGGTAGTCATCGGGTTAATGCAACAAGTATGGTAATTGATGGCACAATGTCGTTCTCATCCCGTGAAGACTGGCTTTGATTTCAACTTTAGTTTTTTTAATTGCAAAATATTTTACACAAACAACATTTAACCTCCATATAATTTCCTAAAAAAATTAACATTTCACTAAATATAATTTCTATGGGCTTTCTAAACTCTTTTAGGTTTAAAATATGCATGCACAGTTCATTGAAAACCATATGCATACCACTATGTGAACACACATTCAGATGTTTCTACATAGTGAGCTAAGTTTGTCTTCATTACAACTTTACATTTAATTTACTTTGCTATAACTTAGCTTTGGTTCATTTCAGAAACTACACCCTTTTGTTACTTTTTCTTTACTATGGGTTATATTCTTAGTTTTTATCAGTTTCTTTGTTTCAGTTCATAAAAAACTATGTTATACACTGAATGCTCATAACTGTTTCATACTTTGTACACTATTATAAATACCACTACTTTTAATGTAGTTTTATTAAATAAAATTACATCTACGTGAGTTTGGTTGTCTGACCTCAAAAATGTTTTTCAAATAGACCAGGAATTGTTGATCTAATACATAATGCCTGCAAGAAAGCATAGCATAAATGGTGTATGCGAAAACTACTACAAATGTTTTGCGGGTCACAGCTAGTATCAATGATTTTAGTACGTGCAAGAAATTATTCTTAAAATGTTAAAATTTTACTAATTTATTGTGAACACATTTGTGATTGCCAAGCTGTGATAAGAAACATTGTAAATTATTGCATGCAATTTTTAACTTTATGAAGTATACAAAGATATGTTTACATATATATATTACAGAAAATATAATCTTAATAAGAACAATACCATTATATTTACACATTTCTTATTTGTATTTTAAAAATCACAATAATGTTACAGCCTATTGTAACTAAATAAAGATGGAACAAGCTGGCTGGATAAATACTGGACCAATCAGCTGCAATATGGGCATCTCCACATGATAAGTAATAATTTCTGTGATCCAGAAAGTATCACATATTCAGAATAAAAAACATATCAATTTATCAAGAAAAATCACACACACACACACATCCTATCCTTTCTTTTCGTATACATATTTTGATTCACTACAAAAAACAGAAAATTTTGACTGCATCATTTTTAACTGAAAGAAGTTTGTGGGTAGTTAGTAATTTTGTTTGTTAGCCTTTTCCACCCTGTAATTCTAATTGAACATATATTTGACAACTTCTAACTCTGTGTGCGTTAATAAATTAGTATGTTATATTTAACTGGAAACAAGTGTAAGCAATTGCTAACTCTCTACCTTTCTAAGCTGCTCAACCAAGTAACTTACCCAAGATATTCCTGAAGGGTCAACACAGTACAACTGAGGTCCATCAGGTTCTGATGCTGCCATGAGAATACTGCATCCAAATGGCCGGACAGCACTGTACAATGTGTAAGCATGCATATACATAGCCACCCTGTCCTTAAGGTACTGCAAACCAAACATTTAATACAAACATTTATATGGCTATATATATATAATTACACATGAAAAAATCCTACAAATTTTTGGTTGTTCATAGACAAACTATCGTTTCATGACCAAACAAATAAGACTTCACCTACCTAACAGCAACATATTTTTATATTAACTTCAATAAAATATGATTGTACTGTTCTAAGTGAAGAATTAGTATAATTGATGTACATTGAACTATTCTTTCTTGTATATAGGTTTCATTTTACAATTGAAAAAACAAAAACAATTTGCCCATTTGCATCACAAGAAATTTCATATGATTTCAGATAGAACTATGGATAGCTGTTAAAATTTTTTCATGCAAAAATTGTAAAAAATATCAGTGACTAGGTTTTTTGAATTTTCTGAATTGCCAGATTACTATGCAACTGTTTAAAATTGTCACCAAAGAAAGTAATGGTCATTTACAGACCATTCAATAAGGACAAATGTTTGTTTGGTAGCATAACTCTTAATAATTTGCTGGTTGATATTTGTTCTAAACAACTAGTCCATGAGCCAAATATGGTTATGAAAGGGGTATATTTTTGTTCCTTAGAGTCTAAAGATCAATATAAGTGATGTTACCAACAAATAAACTGGAATGAACCATCTGTTTGGCCTGTTTATTCATATGTGGGGGTCTTTCCACTCTTAATCTGATTTCTGGCACTCTAAAAACATGGGGTCATGTTAGTTCCTGACCTTATATGCCTATTTTTATAAAATCTTTCATTGAAAGCATTACAACAGATAACGATGGTAAACATTTTGTTTCAAGTGTTGTATTATATATATATATACATATTTTTAAAAAAATCACTTTAACTGGATTTCTAAAAAAACTATACATAAAAATTGGGTATGACTGTTATATGTGAAAAAGTAAATACTCCTATACTGAGTCTGTATTCTAAAGAAGTTTTCTTCCCATAAATCATTTGAATATGGTTCTTTTCTGAAGACAAACCTTAAACCTTTTTAAAAATACCCAAAACTTTGGTTTTTAGATCAATATTTGCATTTTGTGTAGTGGTTCAGCTGCTGGTCAAGTCCAAACCACACAAAACCACTGGTATTGAAAAACTGATGAAGTTCCCTATAAGTCCTGTCCCTTACAGCATTAGTACTGATGATGGTTATTTGGCAAAAACCAATAAACCTAAAGGATTTCACTATATAATGAAGGAGATCGATGATATCAATCTCCCTGTTGAGTTGACAACACTGTTAGTTGTAGATGGTAATGCTGTGTTCCACTTCTTGATAGAAATCCCTGAAATATCTCATAGAATATTTGATAGCCTGCCAAAGAAGATGGATCTGGTATTCAGTACTGATATGTATAAAGATGGATTAATCAAACAAATAAAACGAGGCAGATGTGGTTGCAGTGACAAACTGATCATCTGGGGCCAAATGATGAAAAAACCTGCAAACTGGAGGAACTTTCTTCTCAACAATGAAAACAATACACAGCTAATTGCCATTTCCATGATGTGTGGAGTGGGAATGATTCTGCACTTGCTGGAATCAAGTGATGAAAGAACAACACTGATAAAAGATTTGCCAACATTGTACTCATCCCAAGAGGAGATAGACACATGAGTAATTTAGTACTATATCTTTAGTCAGGATCATGGATATGAAGTTGTCCGCATCAGAAATCCAGATACAGATATATTTTTAATAGCTCTACATCATGCAATGCAACTCCAATCACTATTCTATCTGATACAGGCACAGGAAACAATGAGAGACTCATTAATGCATCAGAACTAGCTCATGAATATGGCAAAGAATTATGCACATCACTGATGGTTCTGCAGGCTTTCACACATTGTGATACAAGTGCCTTCAAGGGGATTGGTAAAGTGCAACCAATCAAACTGTTGCAGAAGATGCCTGCTTTCCAAAGTGTTCTAGGAAAAGTCGGTAATTCTTGGACTGTTCCTGGCCACACAGAGGCAAGTTTAGAAGAACTGACATGTGAAATATACGGAAAGTCACATTTAAAAAGTGTTGATGACTTGCGTTTTGCCATTCTCAAGGAGAAATATGATGGTGAAGATGGGAGTGCCAGTCTGAATAGCAATATCAACCTTAGTCAGCTACCTCCATGTCAGAAAGTGTCACATCAGCATATGAGACAAGTGAATTATCAGATTATAATCTGGAAGTGCACCAATGTCCCTCAACCAGATTTACCACCATCAGATGTGCACAGATGGACAGACATCAATGGAAAACTTGAACCTCTGTGGTTTGATGGACACATGTTCCCATCAGAGCTGGCCAAAGAAATTGATTCAAGTGAAGATGACAACTACTCTGATGAAGATGGTGACAACAATGGTGACATTGAGTCAGATGGCTTGGTCTCAGACGGAGACAGTGAGGATGACTAAGGTTCCTGTCTAATTTTGTACGTATGAAATCTTGTACATAGAACTTATATGTAGAACATTGCTCATGTACATGTAATTTTTACAGTATTGTGACTTATATTAATCTAGTTCATAAATTTAGTTTCAATTCACACATTTTTTTCATTTGTGATATACTATAGTCAAGTACAGTTGTTTGTATCTGATGACTAATGACCAATTATTGTTTATATTTGCCACCTACATTGACTGTTTTGTTGCATTACAATTAGAGTTTCTGAAGTGAATACTTTTGTGAATATTAATGTTGCTGTGACATTAGCATATGATGATCTGGTCCTTGAATTCACTTTCAGTTCACATGCTATTGTTTCATTTGTACATCATTCAAGAATTTTGGTTTGCATCAAATGTTGAAATGATTTATTTTTTGTTTACTTTGTTACATACAGTGACTATTATGTTGCAATAAAACTTTACAATTGGGAGTGAATACTTTGTGAACATTTATCTTAGTGCAATTATGAACCATTACTGAACGTGCTTGAAATACGCATATGGAAAGCCCAGAGTGGGTGCTCTTTACTTTGCCTAAAAATGCAAACATTTATCTGAAAACCAAAATTTTGGGTATTTTTAAAAAGATTTAAGGCATGTCTTCATGGGAGAACCATATTCAAATGATTTATGGGAAGAAAACGTCTTTAGAATACAAACTTGGTATAGCAATATTTACCTTTTCACGTATAACAGTCATACACAATTTTTATGTACAATTTTGCAGATATCCAGTTAAAGTGATTTTTTTAAATTATGTACATATAATACATAACTTGTAAAGGAAATTTATTCCATCTTTATCTGGTACAATGATTTCAATGAAAGATTTTATAAAAACAGGCATATAATAGCAGGAACTAACATGACCCCTTGCTCAGACAAGCCATAATTTTTATAGTCTTCAATTCTGTTTGGTTACAGAGCTATCGAATAGAAATCAGACCCATCCTGTCACATCCTCCCTTTCACAATTCATTAATAGTTCTCTCTTACATTTCATTATACATTACCTATAACCAATAGACAGTCAAGGTTTTCATCTATCAAAGGACATATTGTATAATATTATATTCTGAACAGTTAGAAGTCAATTTCATTCAGAGTAGCAACATCGTTCCCGAGGGAAAGTTAACGACTAGCTTGGATGAATTTGCAATGACTTGTCGCATAGTTAGAAAGTCAGGAAAATTTTGAGAGGTAAGGGAATTTGTCTACTTCTTGCATGTTATTAGTATATTTTCTTTTGTGCATTATTTAATCAAATAAAAATTATGCACAACTGTCATTGAGCAAGAAAAAAGAAGATTGGGCAAGTACTTTATTTCTTGTTTTTCATATTTATTCTATATTTATTATTATAAAAGTAACTAAAATCTAAAAATGTGGATCTTTTTAAGTTATTTAAGACTAGATTAGGTAAAGTAAGTAATAATAATAATATAATTAAAATGGTTCATGAGGCATGCATGCGAGCAGCTCATAGTAGCTCGTGGGTAATGTAATTCAATAGCGTAACGTGACCCGCACTTCCTCCAAGTGATTTACAACTTTTTATGGTGCGGATAGTAGTTAGACATGGTTCAAAGGACAATAAAACAATAAAATTTAATTATAAATAGATGTATACTGCTACAAATGTAGAGCTAGTAGTTTCATGTTACAATATGAAGTTATTCTAGAAAGAAAAAAAGGGTAATTATTTCAATATTTCTTTTGGTGGTTACGACGTTGGTCAAATTAACCAATCCTGTTTTGAGATAGGGTAGACAAAACAACAGATAAACTATAAAGTTTTACTGAAAAAATACGTTAGAAATGCATTTAGGAGGTTTTAGGGATTACACAGAGGCAATTTAAGATTTTTAAGATGAGGAAATGTATTTTTAATTTTAACATGAAAATTACTTTGCCCACACAGACTATTCAGAACAAATATTTCACTAAAACATGTGATTTTTTGTATGTGAAGGACTTGTAATGTTAAATGAAAGACTGCCAAATTTCGTGTAGAAAGTAGGAAAGAAACTGATCCAGGAACTTGTCAACATGGACTTGCGTGCCTACAAAAGGAGAAAAAAAAATCCTCAGAGTGAGAGTCATGTAGTAAGGAATATGAAGAATCAAAAAGCATAGAAGGGGAAGTAAAGAACAAACATGAATGATCAAATCCACAAAGAGATTTGGATGAAAAACATTGTCTTCAACAGACAGAGTGGAAAGAAGGCATCAAAGAACTTGTGAAGTGATGAACTATGACAATAACATCTCCCACAGTCAAAGATCCTCCAGTGGTTGTAAAGAAGTAGTGTTAGTGTTAGTAACAATACCAGAACCTGAAGAGGAGGTAGAAGATAGCATCATTTGAGAATTCATGGTTGTTATAACAATTCTCCAGATCAATTTTTTTTTCTGAGTTGTAGTGGTAATGTAGATTAATAAATAATTAAAATAAATTAAAAGGAAACCAAACAAACTTAACACTGTGAAAAGGCAACACAAATCTCACAAAACTGATTATGTTTAAACTTAATGAAATATGCATTAAAGACAGTGGCAAGTATAAGAATGAAGCTAATTTCGAGAGCAAGTGCTTATGGGGACCTATTGAGCATGGAGGATGTATTGTCTTCTTGTTGTTGAAGAGCTATTGTTTTAGGTGGGAGATAGCTCAAGGCTAGTGGTATGTGAAAAATCTCAAAAGCAGATGCACAGGGAATAGCTACTGTGTATAGAGATGTAAGCCTATTGTTGTGGACTTTCAAAACTGTCTGTAAAAAGAACAATCAAACAATAAATGATTTAATCAAAAGTAAAAACATTTTTTTGGAACAAACAAAGCAATATAATCACTTCACCTTGAGAGGTACCAAGGATCCATAGTCAGCCCTGTAGTTAGAAGCCTCTGTTCTTGCTGTTTCTACCAGCTGTCTGGCATCAGCTAAAAGGCCAGCACATGCCTATTTCAATAGTTTTTACGGTTAATGCCAAAGAGTTGGTTTATTGGATATACAGCTGTTCTACATTCATTGTACAAAACTTAATAAGCATGCAAGATTTCTACACTTCAACAATACATATGAACTGATCTCTTTGTAAATGTATATTTCAAATACTTTCTATGACTGGTTGAAAAATACAGCTTATACTATGGAGCTATCAGTAATAGCCCCTTCAACAATTACTTCAATTCTGATAAACATTAATACACAAAGAATAAAATGTTTCAAAGTGGTTTTAGATAGTGGAAACTGTAACAAGATTTATCTAATTATATGATCTGGAGATTGAGTTTCAAACTGCTAAATGTCAGTTCCTAACTACCAAAGGTACATGAGGTTCCTTACACTGTTCAAAATGAAAAAATATATATATATTGAAGAATAAGAACAACACAAGACAAAATAAAAATAATACCATCTTTTAGTATCACGCTATTTTCAGAAAATTTTTTTGTGTTTACTTGTCATCATCCTGTTTAGTTTTAGGAACCCTTAAGTAGAGTTTTGCTTTCACTTGCTACTTTGTTTAGGTAATCATTATTATTAAATTTTGTGGGAATCAAGACTGCAATATACAAGGTAAATCCTTAATGGAATCTCCAGAACTTAAATTCTTAAAGTGTTAAAAACAAAACATTTTATTAAACCATCTAAGCAGTGTGCTGTTACTAGTGGTAGTGCAAATAGGATTTTAGGTTATATTTATAAAAATATTGAATGTAAGTTTAAAGAGCTTATAATTTCATTGTACAGGTCACTAGTTAAGCCTAATGTGTTCATTCTTAGGCCCCCTATTGTAAGAAGGGCATTGAATTGTTGTAAAGGGTTCAAAGAAGGGCTACTAAGATGATACCTGAGATGAAAAGGGTGTCATATGAGGACAGATTAAGAGCTCTGAAATTGTTTCCTCTTAAAAAACAAACATTAGTATTAGATCTGATTGAGGAGTTTAATATTATCAACAGATCACAATACTATTAACTTACCACCCCAACATGCTGGTCAATGGAAAAAATTCGTTTGTTAGCACCTGCTTCATATAGTTTTGATGTCACTAATTTCTCAACAGCAAGTACCACACCATCTTTGCCACGCAAAGCTACAGCAGTCCTAAAGAAACAGTATATATATAAAAAGTTAATCAAGATTCTAGTAAGGTCAAACCACAACCATTTTGTGGTAGAGTTTTTTGTTTCTTTTGTATCACAGAAAAAAAATGTATAAATGACCTAAACTATAAAAAATAAATTATTAAAATTCAGTAAAACAGAAGGATTTTAAGTTTTTCACAAACTATGCAATTTTCTGTTTGAATGAATAATGCATTTTAGTGGAAAGTTTTATGTTAGTCTTAATGAGGTCACTACACACCCACTATTCTCAACAGCTTTCTGAGCATATTCAACTTGGAAAACTCGTCCATCAGGAGAAAACTGTGATGCTGAAAGATCATACTGAAATAGAGAAAACAGATTTAAGCAATTACTTACATACATATTTTTTCAATATATTTAAAACAACCTGATGTTTAATGTGTAAACTGGATCATGTCCAAATTTCTTTAGATTAATAATCAATTAAATAGAATAAAAAATCAAAATATATACATGTGTTTGAAGCAATTAAGTCTTTCAAACTTTAAACCATCCAAAGTACTTTCTTTTTTTACATATATTTATCTGTAAATCATCTTTTGGCAGTGAACAAAGCTTGTCAATTTGTTTACAAGTTAAAACCAATATTCCAAAAAGACTACCTCGAGTTCACAAAGCCCTGCACTAGGTTCTGAAAAGAGTAGGGTCTTCATCCTTTGTTGTTTATTATCTTTGCTAATGGAATGGTCTACTGTTTAAGTTAGATTTCTAAAATTGTTAATTATACCAAAAAAATGGTTCCTTGGAAAACACTCCATTAATGCCATAGAACTTTGACAGTCTTGCTCAGTGAGCTAATCTGAAGGAATGAGTTTCATCACTGCAAAATATGAAATGATGCCTCTATGATATATGGCAATTTGAATAGTCTATTTTCTTTTGTGGGGGAGAAGTACTAGTGGTGTGGAAAGTGAGGAAATGGATACAATGATTGATTAACCCTATTACCCCAGGTACCCTTTACTGTGCATGGCACAAGGTTTTAGTGTCTTACATTCAAAATTTTATTAAGCTACTTTTTGTTTATGTTATACCAATTAGAATAACATAAAATCTTAGCTAATAATCCATATTTTAATAGTATACAAGTTTTAAGTTCTTAATTGTACAAGGAAATATTTTTAAAAATCCTGAATTTCCACTGGTGTGACCCACATGACACATTTTGTCTTAGCATGTCATCATCCCTATTTTATTTGTTCAAACAAACCATAATTTTTATAGCCTTCAATTTTTTTTTGGTTACAGAGCTATCGATTAGAAAATCAGACTCCTCCTGCCACACCCATCTGTCACATCCTCTCTTTCACAGTTCACATTATATATTCCCTATAACCAATAGACAGTCAAGGTTTTCATCTATCAAATGATGTATTGTATAACATTGTATTCTGAACAGTATATCGTCAATTTCACACATAGGACAAGATTCATTCCCATGGGAAATTTAACAACTAGCTTGGATGAATTTGTAACAGCTTTTGTTGCATAGTTAGAAAACCAGGAAAATTTTGAGAGGTAAGTGAATTTGTCTACTTCTTGCATGTTATTAGTCTATATTCTTTGGTGCATTACTATGAAAATCAGGCTTAACCGTCCTCGACAATCAAGGGCAAGAAAAAAGATGATTGGGTAAGTACTATATTTCTTGTTTTTAATATTTATTTTTTATTTATTATTATAAAAGTAGCTAAAATGTAAAAATATGGATCTTTTTAAGTTATTTAAGACTAGATTAGGTGAAATAAGTAATAATAATAATAACATAATTAATTCTTTCAATATGGGGTCAGTCATGGTGATGACCACATACCATCTTGTGCTTGTTATAGTTTTTATGCTATAATTTTTAAATTAGTAAGCGAACATTAATGAAATTTGGCAGATTATCAGTAAACATTACAATGCTTTCATACGCAAAATATCTAATTTTTTTTATTAAGTTGTAAGGTTTGTAAAGCAATGTTTCTCTCATGCCTTTTTTTTTCTTTTCACATCTTGCCTATCTATCATGCAAAGTAATTTTCATTTTAAAATTAAAAATACTTTTATGCATCAAAAAAATTTGAAATTTCATATGTGAAATCTTTATAATGTTCGGATAGTTATCAAATGTTTCTCAAGAAAAAACTATATTTTA